AATTATTTATTTATGTTTAAAATTTATTTTATTTATTTATTTGTGTGTGGGTGTGTGTATGGCCAGCTCAGCCCACCAGGGGGCGGGGCTGACTGGCATGTGGTGCTGGGGGATTGAACCGCGGTCCTTGTGCTTTGCTAAGCTTGTTCTAAGTAGGTGCTTTAGACCACTGAGCCATCTCACCAGCCCCTAGCTTTAGTTTTTGGAGGACTCTCCATACTGGTTTTCTATGATGATTGTACTACTTTGTATTCCTACTAATAATGTACCATGGTTCTTTTTTTTTTTTTTTTTTTTTTTTTTTTTTTGTGGAACCGGGGATTGATCTCAGGCCCTTGCGCTTGCCAGGCAGGCACTTATTCTACTTAGCTATCTCTCTGGCCCCTATTCTTTGACTTCTTAATGATGGCCATTCTTTCCTGGGTAAGATGGGATCTCAGTGTTGTATTAATTTGCAATTCTGTTATGGCCAGAGATGTTGAGTGTGTCTTCATGTATTTATTGGCCACTTGTATGTCTTTCATTTTTTAAAAATTATTTATTTATTTATTTATTTATTTAGTACAGGGTCTTGCTATGTAGCTTGGATTGGTAGTGATCCTCCTGTCTCAGCTTCCCCAGTGCTGGGATTACAGGGTTGTGCCACCACACCTGATTTTGGGGCTGACATGGCATGCGGTACCAGGGATCAAACTCAGGTCTTTGCATTTGCCAGACAGGCACTTAGACCTCTGAGCTATCTTGCCAGCCCAGCAGAAGCTTTTAAATTTAATATAATCCCATTTGTTGATTTTTGGTGTTATTTCCTGTGTGACTTGAATTCTATTCAGAAAGTCCTTGCCTGTGCCTATGACCTCAAGAGTTTAGTTCTGTGATCCATTTAATTTTAATTTAGTACACGATGAGAGATAAGGGTCTAGATTTAGTCTTCTGCAAGTAGGTAACAATTTCCCCAGCACCATTCATTAAAGAGACTGTTGTTCCTCCAGTGTAATTTTTGGCCCCTTTGACTAAGGTCAAATAGCTGAATGTATGTGGGGTGTTTCTGTATCCTCTGTACTATTCCATTGTTCCTAGTGTCCTTTCTTGTGCCAGGGGCCTGCCAAATAGCTCAATGGATTAAAGCACCTGCAAGCAGGCCCAGGGGTCAGGGATTCAATCCCCGGGCCTGACCCCGGGGCTTGCTGAGTCAGCAATTGAGACTGGGCGAGGTGGCACACACCTGTAATCCCAACACTTGGGAGGAGAATCACTAGGAGTCTGATCTAGTAGTGAGACCCTCAACACCCTGTAGACCTTTCCCTAAAATACAGGGGAAAAAAAAAGAAGAAGAATTTTCTGATGTTGTGCCAGTACCAGGCTGGTATTTTGTTTTGCTTTGTTTTCCAGGCTGGTTTTGATCACGATAACCTCACAGTATTACTTTGAAGTCTGGCGTCGTGATGTCTCCTGCCTTGCTCTTGTTGCCCAAGATTGCTTTTGTTAGTTTTGAGTCTCTTCTGGTTCCATATGAATTTTAGGATTGTTTTCTTCAGTCCAATGAAGAATATTAATGGAATTTTATTGCGATTGCATTTAGATAGATTTTATTTTCATTTTCATTTAGTTTATAATACATTTGAGGAGGACAGTTCGAAATCCCTGTAGTCTTTCTGTAGTACATGTATTTATTTCTCTTCTCAGTGTATTCATCTTCAAGTAGAAAGGATTGAAGTTGAAACCCATTGTAATTAAGGACTGGCCTTTTTTTT